AATCGTTTGATTTATTTTATTTCTTAAATTTTCTTATACACTTTACTAATTTCTTTTTATCAATTTTAATTTTTCACTGTGATACTGTTTTAACTGCTTTAGTACTACCTTATATTATTTATATAATCACAAATTATTATTTAATTATCAAACGATGTGAATAAATCAGGGCAAATTTATAAATTTGATAAAGCAAATTCAAATTCAAAAAAAAAAAAAAATGTTAAAATACTATCAAAGATAGTTGTACCATTTTCGAACTCTTTTTAATTGTTCAAATTTTCAGACTTGGAAAAATGATAGGAAAGGTAAGACATTAATATAACTTTTAGTAATTAAAACTTATCAAACTTTACTTTCTGTCTTCGATCACCTTAACCATACTTTTTTGCCACAATTTAATAAAATTTTAAAATTTGTGTTATTACTAAAATAAAATAATAATGGAAATACTTTACTTAAAGTTATTTTTTTTTAAAAATTTGAATTTTAGTTAGAATTTATTAGCATAAAAAAAAAATAGCTAAAATTTTTGGAGCGATTATATTTTATAACATTGATCATTTCAACTTTATTCCTTTCTATCAAAAAAAAAAAAAAAAATTGCCTATATTAATTAAATTTTACGTCGATAACATTAGAAAAGGATCTTTGATGAGTGAATATTTGGGTTTAAGATGGAAGTGATGAATTAAAGATCATAAAGAGGTCAAAAAATTTTGTAACTTTAAAATTTTAAATTTAAAAAAAATTTTTTTTTTTGTTTTTAAATTTGAAAAAGATTAACAAATTTTTACTTATTTATAGTAAATAAAAGTGTAACTTATTTATTTTTGCATCTTGCAAGAGATATTTGAAAATGATAATCTCTTCAAAGTATTTATTCAAAGTAAAAGTAAAAATAGAATAAAGTAAAGAAATTTTGTTTGTGGGTTTTCCTTTTTTTTTGATAAACAACTTTTATTGCAAGTCATTCTTGTACTATTAGAATTATTTATCACTCTTTTAAGAGACTGTTAAGTGGAATAGAAATGAAGCAGAAATAATGGAAGTTCAAAATATTTATATTTATCAAAAAAAAAATATTTATCAAAAAGTGTGATAAGAAGAGAGAAAAAATTTTTGAAATATTTTGAGATTACTTAAGCAATTGTTAATAGAAAATTGCTGATCAATAAAAATTGATTTTATTGATTAGATTGTCATAGATACTGATAACATTGATCAATTTGTTATTTTTATTATATATATTATTTTTTTTTATGAGAAAATTTCCGTTTTATTTTAGTGTTCCGTTTTTTTTTTTTTTTCGATCATATAAAACATTTGATAGTATTCAGTAATGACAAAAAATTTTTGAAATGATAAAATAAAATTTGCAATTGAAGTGATAAATGATAAAATTTTCGTAGATAAAATTTATGAAAAATCATAATTTTAAAATTATAAACATTCGAAAATTAATACCACATTTCATCCACACTTTACAAATAATATATATTTGATAGTAAAAAAAGAAAAACTTCAAATTGTTAAATTTGTTTTTTTAAAAAAAAAAAAGTTACAAATGAAAAAGTTTGATGTCTTACGTTGGTAAAATTACACTTTAAGCTTTGAATGCTTCTTAATTAACTTAAAATGGAATAAATATTTTTAATAGATACACTTATATGAAAGTAAAGAATGTTTCTATCATTTCATATCGCAATTTTAAATTTCATTTCAATCTTTTCAACCATTTAATTATCATTTATAAGACGAAAACCTGATATCGATAACAGGAATAGACAGAGAAAAGTTGATTAAATTAGAGTAAAACATGAAATATCAGCGTAAACTTTTTAATAATAAATCACATAGCAATTAAATAAATTTTGAAAATGATGCAAATGAACAGATAACATTACTCATTAATAAATAAAAATTTGAGATAATTCGAGAAAACGATCATTTTTTCCAAATTACATCGATTTTTAAAAATTGAAATTGAATATGGTACTTTACTGAAATATAAAGTACCATAGCTATATTAGACTTAAACTTGGCTCATTTTAATATTTCCTATTTTATTGGCATAAATTTTTACAACCATAATATACTTTTTAGCTGCTGAATAAATTTGCATTGAAATTAAAATTTAATTAAAATTAATTCTAAGCATTAAAATTAATTACAAAGAATGTTTTAAAAGAAAATATATACATATTCAAAGAGTTAAACTATAAAGTAAAATTGACAAATTACTATAATTGTAGTTATTCAGTAAATAAACTACAAAATTCCAATAAAAAAAACTCAAACATTTTTTTTTTTTTTTTTTAAATTATAAAAATATTTGACAATCAGATTATTTATAATAATATTAAAAAAAAAAAGGAAAAGTTTTTGGAACAAAATTTCTTATTGATATAATATCGAACGACAACGGCGACAACAACGACGACAACGATAACAATGTAATAAATCTTTTCTTCCTAATTTTTTTAAAATTGTATTTTGTACTTTTGTAGAACTTTATTTTAGTGATAATTCAAACTTGTTATCAAATAATTCTAAAGCAAACATGAAATGTGATCATACGAAAAAGTTCGTTTCGTTCTGTTGTAAAATTTTCAAATGTTATGAATGTACTTTGTAAGGGTTATATGGCATCTTCTCAAAAATCATGTTTTAATTTGGTTGACGTTGAAATTAACAAAACATTTTTCATGCTATTACGCCAATTACTCTTCTTCAAATACCAAACTGAAAACATTTCTCTTCATCTTCTCTTTCGCTTTTTACCATTTCTGAACAGTTATTATATATCATTACAATTATTCAAATTATTATGTCAATTTATATCACTGATAATCATTATCATTGTTTTATCATTGTTTTCGTTATCATTTATCATTATTATCATCATAACCACTGTTAGTATTATCATTAGCATTGTTTTCTTTATCATTATTATCATCATAACCACTGTTAGTATTATCATTAGCATTGTTTTCTTTATCATTATTATCATCATAACCATTGTTAGCATTATCATTAGCATTGTTTTCTTTATCATTATTATCATCATAACCATTGTTAGTATTATCATTAGCATTGTTTTCTTTATCATTTATCATTATTATCATCATAACCATTATTAGTATTATCATTAGCATTGTTTCTTAATGCTATACCATTTGAATTATTATCTTTTGAATTATATAACAATTTTTTTTTTTTTTGTTTTTGCTTTTTAGCTTTATTCTGTTATTGTCATTTAATTATTTTTCTTCATGAATTTGACTAAAGTAATTGATAAATTTGATAATTGTTTCATTATTAAATTTGTTAAATGTTAGTTTCATAAGAAAAAAAAAAAAAAAAACTTTTTCATACTTTATATTTTTATTTGCATATGTTTTAATACCATTTATTTATTTATTTATTTTATGCTTAAAAAAAAAAAAAAAAAGATGTCATTGATTTATTTTGAGATTTAATAAAAATTGTTCAGTGATTTTTGGTTTTTTTTTTTTTTTTTGGGACTTAAAAAAAACACTCAGATGTTGAAATTTAAATTGATTTTCTATTAATTGTATTATTTAAATACTTATAATTTTGTTTAGTTAGTTGTTTTGGAAATTTTTATTTAACTTTTTGTGAATTTTTATCGAATAATTTAGTGAAATTTTTTGCTTCAATTATAATGATAATATGAAATAAACAAAGAAGTGAATTTCATTGACATAAATTTAAATTCTGTGACACTTCTTAACAAGAAGAATTTAACTAATCTCTGTTTTTTTTTGTTATCTTCTGTAATGGTTGATAGATTGTAATTTAAAATTGATAAATTTAAATTTGTATTTAAGTACTTCCTTTTTACATTTTCTAATAATCAATAAAAACAATGAGTTAGAAAATGATCAATCAGAAAATGAGAATTGATGAAATCAAAATATTTCTTCAGTGATTTTTAAATTTTTAAAATATATTTTTAAATAAAAAATAAAATAAAATCTAAAAATTGAATTTTTTATCTTCAAACTTTACTTTTTCGATGAATGGATACTTCTAAAAAGCTAGATGTGATGAATCATCATTGATTATAATTTTGATCAAATAAATTTTAATTTTTGATTAATAGTTATCTTTCTTGTAACTGAAACTTTAAAATTAATCTGTTTTACTTTTGTTCATCTGTTAATTTTCTGTTAATTTTTCAAAAAAAGAAAAAAAAAATTTCTGTTAATTTTTCAAAAATAAAAAATTGATCTGTTAATTTTTCAAAAGTTAATTTTCTATTAATTTTCAAAAAATAAAAAATTAATCTGTTAATTTTTACTTTTTTCAATTATGTCAACAAATGCTGTATTAATGTGACAATATAAATGTATGATTCAAATTATTAGAATTTTTATTTAAACTGAAAATCAGTGCTGTATGAAAGTTTATGTTATGATAAGAATTTTAATTAAATCATTGGTTATCGCTGTTTTAGGTTATTAGAATTATGTGAAAGTGATGAATGATTTTATAAATTTAAATTGCCATATGAAAGCAAATTTATCAAAAATTTTTAAGTTTGATTTTAAATTATGGAAACAATATACAAATGGCAAATAAAAGTGCAATAATTTTTTTTTTAAAAAAAAAAAAGTTAGTATAAAATATTATTCATAGAAAGTAATTGTTTATAATTGGAACGCATTTTTCAGCGGTATTTCTAGAAAGTATTAAAATTTTAAATTTACAAACTGATTAATTTAAATACAATCAAATTTAAAAGCTTTTTTTTTCAATAAGTATCATTAAAAAGTTAAAAAGATAAGAAAAATGAATGATTTATCTTAACATATAACAATACAATTGTTATTATTACAAAATGTTTAAAACAAATGAAAAATTAAATAATTTTTTATTTTATCAATAAGATTTGAATTTAATTAAATAGGAATAAATTGTAATTAACTTTAATTGATATTAATTTATACAGGTAAATAATGAATATTTCAGGTATGCTAAAACTAACCTTTTTGATCATACTGTGCGACATTATACCTTCTTCGTTAGCTGATGCTAATTCTTGCGGAAAACTTGTGCATTGTACTATTAAACGATGCTTCTCTACAGGTTAGCTTTTTTTTTAAAAAATAATTAATAAAATATTTGAAATGGAAATGATCGGTAATGATTGAAAGATATCTAATTACGACAATTTATAAAGTTAATAGTAGGTGAGACTGATAATTTGATGCTGATAAGTTGATAAACTATAGATTGGTTCAGATAAATTAAATTCAAATTGATTTTAGTGCAAGCAATCCTGACTGCATGCATTTCTACAACTTACAAAAATATTGCATTTTAGTGTAAGCAATCCTGACTACATGCATTTCGACAACTTACAAAAATATTGCATTTTAGTACAAGTAAACATAACTGCATTTCTACAATTTACAAAAATATTGCATTTTAGTGCAAGCAATCCTGACTGCATGCATTTCTACAACTTACAAAAATATTGCATTTTAGTGCAAGCAATCCTGACTGCATGCATTTCTACAACTTACAAAAATATTGCATTTTAGTGCAAGCAATCCTGACTGCATGCATTTCGACAACTTACAAAAATATTGCATTTTAGTGCAAGCAATCCTGACTGCATGCATTTCGACAACTTACAAAAATATTTGCATTTTAGTGCAAGCAATCCTGACTGCATGCATTTCTACAACTTACAAAAATATTGCATTTATAATTTCAGAAAAAACCGAGACAGCAATGCATACGATGAGTGCTGTTGGCATGTTTTCAGCAATGGTTGATCAATTCAGTTTTGTTTGCCTTGCAACAAAATGCCATGATGCATGCACTGCATGCGAGCAATGCAATTATGCCTTGGATCAGATATCTAAAATTACCTCTGGTGTTAAAACAAGTACTATCTTGAGTGATATTTTTAATTAATTAACAAAATTTGATTCCAAATTATGCATTTCAAAACAATTCAAATAGTCAATCTTGACCATTGGTATTACTGATAATATCATTAGCTCTTATCAATTGAACTGATAATGATTCTAATTTTTGTTCATTTAGTCTAATCAATGATCATAGTTCATTTTTTCAATGTATGCAATTACATTTAATTTTAAGCTATCTTGCTATTTAAAAAAAAAAAAAAAAAAAAACTAATAGTTTTATTTTTTAAATTTTTTTTTTTTAAAAAACTGATTGGTACTTTTAAACGGGAATAAGTTTAATTAGCTATGTAATTCTTGTCAAATTTTATCAGATGATTTAAATTAAAAAAAAAAAAATTATGGATGTTTTTTTCAATTTTTTAATTAAATCAAAATCGAGTTTAAACTTTATTCGATACAATTGTATAAATTGAGTTAACGAGAAATTAAATTATGTAAAGAAATTTACATGAATGAATTTTCTGTCCTATTCTTTCCTTCTCTCTCTCTCTCTCTCTCTCTTTCTCCCTCTCAGTTTTTGTGTAAATTTGCTAACAAATAGTTAATACTCAATAAATTCATTTTAAATTTGCATTAAATTTGAATTAAAAAAAAAAAAAAATCTAGCTTAATCCATTTTATTTGCTAATTTATCTAACTAACATCGTTGAATATTTTTGGCATACAAAAAGTTGGAAAACTTAAATTTTTTTTTTTTAAAAAAAAGAATAGAATTTAAAAAAAAATTTTTTTTAGCTAAGTGCAAAAACATATCATAAAATTAGCGATAAAATATTGATATTCAAAGAACAAGAAAAAAGTATAGTAATAAATGAGGAAAGTTTTAACAATTAGAAAAATTACTTATATATATATATATATTATATTTAATAATTAAAAGTAATAAATGAAAAATTATATTTAATATTTTTCAATTTATTTTCAAAAAAAAAAAACCTAAAATTTTTTAAAAAAAGTAATAAATGAATTAGCAATATAGTAATAAATAAGAATTTATATTTAATATTTTTTAATTTATTCTCAAAAAAAAAAAAAAACCTAAAATTTTAGCTAAAATTTGAAAAAATATAAATATATTAAATATAAATGTAAATTTTTAAATTTTTATTAAATTATGTAATATCAAATTTCATAAACTCATATAACAAAGTTTAACATTTACTATTTGCTTTTGCTTTTGCTTTTTTTTTTTCAGAAATGGAATGTCCAAAAATTGAAACTTGTTTGGAGCAATGTTTCATAGAAGATGCGCTTCACATGAATTCGTGCGCAAGAAAACGATGCAATGTTTACTGCTACGATGATGATTGCCCGTATTGTGTTTATGTTGCAAAAAGGATATTTCTAAGAATTTGTCGTGAAAATAACATTCCAAAATTACCAAATGTTAATTTTAATGGTAGTTGTATGGATTTATTTAATTATGTACTTAAAGAGTACTCTGCTGGTCGTAGAACATAAATGGATTTTTTTTTATTGTCAACTGATATTGTCACTCTGATATTGTCAACTGATATTGTCACTCTGATATTGTCAACTGATATTGTCACTCTGATATTGTCAACTGATATTGTCACTCTGATATTGTCAACTGATATTGTCACTCTGATATTGTCAACTGATATTGTCATTCTGATATTATCAAGTGATATTGTCATTTTGATATTGTCATTCTAATATTGTCATTCTGGTATTGTCATTCTGCTATTGTCAACTGATATTGTCATTCTGATGTTGTCATTTTGATATTGTCATTCTAATATTATCATTCTGATATTGTCATTTTGATATTGTCATTCTAATATTATCATTCTGATATTGTCAACTGATATTGTCATTCTGATATTGTCAACTGATATTGTCATTTTGATACTGTCAACTGATATTGTCATTTTGATATTGTCATTCTAATATTGTCATTCAGCTATTGTCAACCAGAAAATATCATTATGATACTTTTTTATAGAAATTTTTGAAAATGATAATATGCTAATACTGTACTATTTGTTATGCATTTTTTTCTTTTTGTATTCAATTTATTTCAGCTAAAATTGATAATAGAAATCATTTAGAAACAATTGTCATCTGATATTGTCAATTTTGATATTTAAAAAAAAAAAAAAGTGAAAAATGGCAAAAAATTGTTTTGAAAAGATTATTAGATATTTCGCTGAGAAATTTGTAAAGTTGGAAAGATGTAAAAATGAAATTCAAAAGATTAATTTTTATGAAAGAAATAGAATTTCACATTTCTTTTGTTTAAAATTACTGTGTTTGAACTTTAAATTTCTTTAATTTTTAATTCGTTTATAGAAATTAATGAGCAAAATACAATGAAAAGTAAATAAGTTTAGCTCTATCTATTCAAACATTCTCAATCTATTTCTATTAATTCAATTTTTTTTTTCTTTTTTTGTTTCATTGTAAGCTAATGTATATATTTTTATCATTTCAATTTATTTAATTTTGTAAAAAAAAAAAATTTCAATTAAAAAATTAAATTTTGATTAAAAATTTTACACATTCATTATTCATTTTTGATAAAATAGCAATTAGTAAGTAAGATTTGATAAAGGTAGTCGAAAGTTCTAGAATTTATGTCAAAAGCGCCCATTTTGCGCAATTCAACAATATAGTAATGCTTGAATGATGAGCCATCGTGATACAATTAAAAATTAAAAATTTCATTTTTAATTGGAATAAGATTAGGCTAAAAAGTAACTCAGAATTTGGTAGAAAGTAAGTTTAAACTTTGTTTAATTGAATAATGTTAAAATTTTGCATTTGAAAATATGCCTAGTAATATATGTAAAAAAATAAATACTTATCTCTTTGGATGGATGTTGATTGCTATAACAAAAGATCAATATTACCGATGGCCAAGTCCCCCAGTAGTTTCTTGGCTCTGTGCGATAATCACTGATTGGCCATATCAGTTGTACGATAGCTGTAAAAATGTAATGATTAGATTGCGATGAATTGACTTCTTGACAACCAAATTGTTGAAGGAATCGAATAAGGGTAATTTTTTGAATTTGTAAATTTGATTAAGATATGGCTTTAAAAGAGATAATCCATAGGAGTATCAAAATTTGAATTTTTATTTTAATTTTTATAAAAGGCCATCAAAATTTGAATTTTTATTTTAATTTTTATAAAAAGCCATCAAAATTTGAATTTTACTTTTTATAAAAATGCATGCTTTAGAATCTGAAACACTTTAAATTGATATTTCATAAAAATTTGTACTGTTTAATTTGCATGAATTGATAGAAAGCATTTAGAAGTTGTTGCAGTGACAATGCAAAACTTCAATTCAAAATTTTTTAAAATCGTTATTGTAGCGTTGAAAAGATGACAGTTTGATTACTTATTGGCAGAGGCGCAATTGGTGCATTATTAGTCAAATATCCCATTACTAACAAAACGTTACATTAGCGCATTTAACAATTTTAAAAAAAATTAATCATAAACTTTTTAATCAATTTCAAATTAACTACTTTCTTTAGACATATAAAATATAGTTTTAAATAATATTTTTTATAAAATAGGCAACAAAGATGATTTTTAAAAAGTAAATGAAAAAGAATGGAATTTAAAATTTGTGGGATGAAATTATTTGAATGTTTTTTAACTTTTAATTCAACACGAAACTTAAAATTACTCTTGATACTTTATGTTAATTATTATCATATATTTAAATGTTCAATTTCATTCATTAAACAAATGAACTCTTCAGTATATCATATTTCTTATACTCAAAAAAAAAAACTATGGTAGTACATTTCTTCAAAGGTCAAAGGTGAACGAAGTAGTACATTTCTTCAAAGGTCAAAGGTAACAAAGTTGAAAGTATGAAAGTACCACGAAAGATAATTTCAAAATTAAATCTTACAAACAAAAATTTCATTTTCTCATAGAAATGAAAAAGATGAAATATCACTTTCTTTTTAAAATAATGCAACAATTGAGCATCATCCGTTGATAAAAAAAGTTGCAAAATAATAATTTTTAATTCAAAGTACGCACAAAATTATCACTGAAATATTTATTTAATTAATTATTTCATTTTTCAATTCTTTCAATTTATTATTAACTTAATTAAATGAATTGTAAATGTTGCAAAGTTTGAGCATCAATTAACTGTAAGATTTCTTAAATTAAATAAAATGCAATCATACAGTCATAATTTTTTTTTTTCCTCTATGAATATTGAAATAAGAAAAGATTGAAAGTAAGTAGATAAGTTATGGTAGTAGTAGGAATGTTTGGAGAAATTTATTAAACTTTTGAAATACTTAGAAAATAATGAAATTTTGAAAAATAATTAATTTAAATGATAAATTAAAAAAAAAAAAAAAAAAAAATCAGACTGTCTTTCATCCACTTTTTCACTTTTTCTTGTATGAAGAATGCAGTAAATTGAAGAAGAAAAAAACTGGTAAAGATTGTTTTTTAGCAAAAATTTAATTTTGAAAAATTTTCCTATCTCACAATTTTCATTTATCGAAGTAAACTTTAATTCGAAATGATAAACACAATTGATAATAAAATTAAAGAATTATTACTTAGTTAAAAGATATTATAGCAAAAAAGTTAGTGTGATAGTATTATTTTAGTTAATTATTAAAGTTAATAACAATAGTAGTAAACTTTTTAGAAAAATAAGGAATAAAAATAAATTTAAAATTTATAAATTCAAAAACTATTTAGAACTTTTTTCTTTCCAATTTGCAAACGAACTTCATTAAAAAAAAAAAACCCTCAAAATTAATGTTAAACACTTCAAAATTAATTTCTTCTTCGTTTTACATCAAATTTATTTTACGTTGACAAAAAATGCTGTCATTACTACTCGGCGACATTGATTAAAAATTTCGAATGAAAAACAATGTATTGAATAAATTTAAAAGACTTTTTTTAATTTAATTGAAAGTATTGTCACAAGATAGTCTCTCCTCCCTAATTTTATTATTAATTATTTTTTCTCTTCCCCGTGTCTTTCATTTCTTCAAATTTGCAAATATCATTTCATCAAACTCTCTGACTAACATTTAATTAATGATTATCTTATTTTTGTAGTTTATGAACTCTTCTTGAATTTTTTTTTTTTTAAAAAAAAACTTTTACTACTTCAGTTTTTATTCTATACGAATTTTATTAGTTAGCAGTTTCTACATTTCTATACGAATTTTATCAATACCTTCAGGTACCAATGAAATCTTCTTTTAAAGTTGACACAATGTTGACATTTTCAAAATATAGCATAATCTCTTCTCCACCAGATATTCTATCCCAATCTCTCATCCTAACTTCACAATTACTCTTCTGCTTCTGCAATTTGAAAATAAAAAAAATAAATTTGATAGCATGATTGTTCACAATTTAAAAATAGTTGGATAATGAAGAGAAACAGTTCAAATGCAATTAGTTAATACCATTGAATGAAAATAGAATGTAAATTTTTATGTCAAAAAAATATTGAACAAATAAAGGTGAAATAAATTTAATTTGGCGGTCTTTGTAACTGAATGATAAATGACAGAAGCGCTGAGATTAATTTTTATTTAGCAAATTTATTGGAACATTCATATAGGTATCATTTTCAGAAACATTTGAAAGTGAAAAACTTTCTTTGAATCAAATTTTTGCTTATTTTCCTAATTTTACCTTCCATTTTTGATGAATTGTAAAAAATTTATTCTTTGCCATAGTGATATCTATTCTTTCTTTTATCATACCATTTCTGCAATTCATATCATAGTTAATTAAAAATTATTATTATAGAAAGTTCCAGAATTGCCTATAAATGAGAGCTAAAGGAGAAGTCAGTAATTCATTCAAAATTCAAAATTTTAAAAGTAATATTTTCTAAAAGCAATAATTAAAATGATTAATTTTAATTCATTTAATTTCAAAGTAAAACAATCTACAGTTTTATTAAAAACTAAAACTTTTTTTTTTCCATTTACAAATAAATGTTCTCACAGTGGCAGAATTGTTATTCTGGCTGTAAACGCTGGTTGATTTATCAGTTTGTGATGCAGTATTGTTTACATATTTCGTATGATTTCGTTTTCGATGTTCAATTTTTACATCCTAAATGAAATAAAATTTAATTTTTGTAAATTTATTTATGAATAAAATGCACTATGCAAAAATAAACAAACAAATTTTGACATCAATTTTGACCTAATTTGTTTAAAACAAAAAAAAAAAAAAAAGAGCACAAATAATTAAATAAATTTGAACCTGTTCCAACTTTTTTTGTCCTTTATTTTCTGAAATTTTGGAAAAATATTAGCTTTATGAAAAATGATAACTATTTTCACTTCAAATTTGATTTTTGCATAAATACAATTGAAACAAATTTGCTACAAACACATCAATAATTAAAATCAAAAATTATTAAGATACTAAAAATACTAATGGATGAGAATCAAGAATTACTAAGCTATCAAGAAATCATGATAATAAAATCTAAAAATAATGGACTTAAGTAATAAATAAATGCATCATTAATCAGAACAAATAAAATTAGTAAACAATTCAAATCTTTTAAATTTAATGATTATATGATTTAAAATATAAAATATCAAATTTATTTCACCTCCTTTTTTTTTTTTTTTCAGACGCACAAAAAAAAAAAAAAGACTGACGTTTCTTGACAAGTCGTGCCGTTACAGTGATGATCACTTCACGTCCGTTAGCGTGCTCCAAAAATCGAGCAACATTTTCACGTAACATTTCCCTTATACTTTTCACCGATCGGTCCATAATATGTAGAATAGTGAATACAATGCACCGTATATACTACTAATTGCTAATACAAATGGAATTTTAAATAACATTTTGAAAATTTTTAAAATGAAATATTTGCATGAATAATCACAGATTCTTTACGGAACCATTTTTAAGTGTAAAAATTTAAATGTAAAAAAAAAAAAAAAAAAAAAAAATGTATTAAACATTAAATGTAGAAGGAAAAAACAAACAAACATTTATTTTAGATGAGGTTTTAGTTAGAATAAACTTAAGTTTATATCATACATTACCGGTGAATTCCATTAGTGCAAATAGATGTCTAAATTGTATTTCGATAATCAAATTGATAGTTTAAAAAAAAAAAAAAAAAAAAAAACTGAGGAGCAAATTTCTTACCAAAATTATGATATGAATATTTGGCTACCTCTGACACGATTAATTTAATTTATTTTTGCTTTCGTTTTTTTTTTTTTTTCATTAACTAATTTCTGTTCTAAAAAATTTTAAAACTTCAAAGGAAATTTGTTTGTTATCGTTAATGATTACAAATCTCGACTGCATAGCTGAAAATAACCGAAAGTGATTCAAGAGTGTCGCCTGAGTATGCATGCCAACACCGCCAACACTTCTCAAATAGCGCCAAATCAAGCAGAGAACAATCATTGACAGACGCATGTATACGAAGAAATAGTATGGAATAGATGAGACGCAAGTGTAACATATCAGGACAATAGGAAAGGATGTGTGAAAGATGGCAGACGTGATATGAGGGTGCGTGATACGTGAATATGCTTAGTAAAAACGTTACGTTGTTGACGTCACTTTAAGGAGAAGTTATGGAGCAGAAAGAATTACGTTTTGAGGGATGCAACTTCTTCAGACAGCGACTTGCTTATTCATTGCTAAGTGGTCACTCGGTGACCATTTCAGAGATACGTCGTTATGATGATGAACCAGGAATAAAAGGTACGTTCTCATTTGACGTCATATTTCACATAATTTAATTTATTTCTTTGACGAATAACTTGATATTTTTTCCAGTAAGAGATAATTTCAGTAATAGATAATAATTCTAAAACTTGGTTTGATTTTTTTTTTTTTGAAATTCCAACGATTTAAAAATTTTTAAACTACAGTTTCTTCTAACCATTGTTCTTTCCTTTTGAAAAAAAAAAAAACACCGAATTGTTCATTTAGATTTCGAGTCAAAACTTCTGTTAATGTTGGAAAAGATAACCAATGGCACACGAATTAAAATCAGTCAAACAGGTTTAATTTTTTTAGCCTAGCTTTTACTTTTTTTAATTTACACTTTTTATCTACACCTTTGACTTTAATTTTTCCGTTCCAGGTACTGAAGTTACATTCTCACCTGGTATGATCACGGGTGGCAAACTTACTTTCGATTGTGGCAATGACCGATGCATAAGGTTGTTTTTGGCCGGTTCTCATATTTTTAGATTTAAATTTATTTAAATTTAAATTCATTTAATGTTTGCATCTTTGTCACTGATATTCAGCATCTCATTCTTCTATCATTCCTCATAGAATTATTATATATATATTTTTTCAGCTACTACCTGGAACCTTTGTTAATGATTGCTCCTTTTTGTAAGTATCCACTTAACGTAAAACTAGAAGGAATAACCAACGCTCCATGTGAGTTAAGTGTCGATGCCATTCGTGCAACGTGGCTTCCGGTTTTCAATAAATTTGTGTTTGCATCTGATGTGCCAGAAATTAAGGTTCATTTATTTATTTGAATTAATCTGTTTCAGCATTATTTTGATTCATTTTTGATCTGTTTCTAGTATCGTTCTATCCTTACCATTGTTATTTAATTTTTGATAGTATTATCTGTATGAAAACTTTAATATCATTGTGCTGTAATCTGTTAGGGAAATGAAATTTCGAACTTTAGATTACTGCTCGAGGTTACAAACCCGACGGTGGTGGATGTGTAATTTTGACTTTACCAACAATAAGAACCTTTCGTCCTGTACAGGTATCTTTTTTAATGCAGGTTTTTACTATAAGATTATTTTTTTCTTATTCGGAGACATCCCGTAGTTTTGCTTCTTCATAAATACAATTACACGATTGTCTTTATATCTTGTTTGTTCATTGTTTCTTAATTTTTAATGATAAACATTATGCTTAAATATTTAATGATAAACCTTATAATTACTTAAATTTTGTATTTTTTTTTGCTATAATTTAGTGTAAAACAGTTGGAAAAATATGTAAAATACGAGGGATTGCGTCTGTTTCCAAAGTTTCTCCATCTATAGCATATCGTATGATTGATGCAGCAAAGCACACTCTTCGCGATTACATTGCTGATATTTATATCACTGTTGATCAGAGAAAAGGAGCATCTGGTGGAAAGTATGGTATTATTCCATTTTTTAGCTTTTCTTGTCTTGAAGAATTTTTTCTTTGTTCAAGCATTTCAGAACTTTGAGGACAGTCAGTGTTGTATATTCGATATGATTTTTTTTGCAAATAAATTTAGACTCTTTTTTAGTGATTTTTATGGTTCTGCAGATCAGCAACATATACTTTCATTGTTAGGGAATAGAATAAAAAGTGGGAAGACAAATATAAAATAGTAGATGTCTGAATACAAATAGCTCTTTAATAGCTGTCAATAGTTCTTTATTCAAAAAAAAAAAAAATGAATTTTTAAAATTCTACCTTTTTTGTCCGAATAATTATGATTGGTTCTTTAGTTCACCTGGCTTTGGTCTTTTTTTAACTAGTGAAACAACGGAAGGAATAATTTATCATGGTGAAGCCGTATCAAAACCGAAAGATGAACAAGGCAACCCAGTTGTGCCGGAAGACGTTGGACACGTTGCTGCATGCCAGTTGTTGGATCAGATCTTTGCAGTTAGTTTCGTTTCTTCTCACTGATAAATTGTATTGAAAAAATGATACTCTCATTTTACATAATTTAGTTAATAATTATATTTCCAGGGAGGATGTGTTGACACCACAGCTCAAGCCTTAGCTGTGACTTTTATGACGCTTTGCGAAAAGGATGTTAGTACATATCTGTTTGGACCTCTCTCTGCTTACTGGTTTGTTGGTTTACTTACCTGGAAATATGTCAAATGCTACCTTATCTTCTTCAGATATAGAACATATCCATAGTTCTGGTTTCTTTCTCGAGTATTACTATGAAGAAAAAATTTTTCCATTACCTTACACCGTAGTTTTCTGCAATATGAAGCTCAAACTTTGTTACGAACATTGTCAACAGGCATCCAGTATTGCTGTTGTGACAATTTAATTATCATTTGTTCTCACTAAAATTAAGCAAGTAATTGGATTAGCGCGTGCAGACTGATTTGCTTATAATTTTATTAAGACCTCTTCTGTACTTTTTAATATATATTTTTTTTTTCAGTATGTACACATTGCGGAATTTGAAGAAATACTTCGAAATAACATTCAAAATAGACCATTGGGATGAGCTATGCGATGATAAAGAACAGAGATTGGGCTCTAATGAGAAGGTACTGATGACTTGTATGGGTATCGGATTTAGTAATTTGAATAAAATTGTGTTGTGATTTGAATCCAGTATTACATGTGATTTTGGTAAACTTAAATGGCTTCCAGTTTTCCCTAAATTCAGAATATGAATGATTTCAATGATGTCTTTTTTTATTTTGGAATTTCGTCTTTGTAAGAAGTATTGTGGTAAGAAATCATAATAAGTAAACTAATTACATATTGTTCAAGGCTAACATAATATTGTTGTTTGTTTTGTTTATTTTTTTGTTTTTTATTTTTTGTTTTTGTTTGGATTGTTGATTTGCAATAAAATTTTTTGCATTTGAAATTTGTTTTGTGTTATATTATTTCAGTCAGTGATTCTGCGTATTCACTAGAGAGCGACTTATCAAAGTGCTTTCTCATAATGATTTCATAGTTCATTTAAGTGAATTCCATTGTTAGGTTGATGGAAGTGCCAGTGCAACCGTGGGCTGATTTCTTGATAGAATGTCCAAGTATCAATAATGGAGCTGGTACGTCTGAGTTAGTTGAATCTGAGTGGGAATGGCTTAAACAGTTGTGTGAATTGGCTGATGAGGATTGCTGTTCGGAAGTTAATAATTCATTTCAACAAGTAACAATAACTTTCAGGTTGTGTCTTTTTTTCTAATCAAGTATTCTCTCACGTTAATAATAGGTCGACGTGGTGTTCTGGTGGTGTACTGCTTATAGGTCTTGAAAAGGTTTATGATTGCGGGAAAATGAGGAAAATGAAATTTTTCTATCCCTATGTTTTTCTATTAACTAAATTTCTATTAGACTCAAACCTGATTGGAATATATGTTACTTCTATTTACTAACTTTACCGCTAACTAAGGTTTGCCTTTTGCATAGGGGACAGGGCGGGTATTTGTTGGGATAAGGCTTTCGAATATTGCTTCTGCTTACATAATTAATTATCTAACGTAATAAAAATAATCGTAGAGGAATGCAAATTCATTTTTGTAGATTGGATGCTAGCAGTTATTTTTTGAAGCTACAGCGGAGTGAATCTTTTCCTGCAACTGGTCCGGGAGTTGTGACCAGCTTGGGTTCTGCATTTGAGCATTCATGGCAAAGTGGTGATACACTTTGTTCATTGTATCACAGCTTCGTTGAACGTTGTTTAAAGTATGGCGATGTTACTTTTATTAATGCTCTTCAGTTCTTTCTAGTTCAGGACAGTAAATATGATAAAAGGGACTTATGACTTAAAGTAATTGATTGCTGATTAGTTGTTAGTAGCACCGTGACTTTGTTTAATTGATGTTTCAATGATATAAATTAATTTTAGGATCGATCTAGCAGTAAAACTGTGCTCGGACGTCAGATATCCATTTACATTCATGGAATGGACAATTGATGAAGATGAACCTACTTGTGTAAGCATTTTTCTTTTATTGTAATTTCAATTGTTTATGTTTCTGTGGTATTTATTCTTATTATATTTTACAGTTGTTATTGTTTACTATTTTTTTTCACAAGTTTTCTTTTTTATATTTTTATTATTAGCTAAATTGTTTTTTCTATATATATTTTTTTCTTCCTATTAATTAAGTTTCTATTAGTATTGTTGGCACACTTTATGTCAAAACTTCTCTGAAAAAATTTATAGTCCCAGTTGTAATTTCTCTCTAATTTCTCATTCTTGTTAAAATATAGTTTTGCTGTTCCTTTTGATTAGTACTGGCTAATTGCAGATAACCATCACATTGTTGTGCGAAGAATGGAGTTCAAAAAAAAGCTTTCAGTTATTTCTGGCAGTTGATTGGTTAGAACCGAGTACTTTTCCGCGTGGACTCATTTCTTCTGTTCCAGAATACCTTCAGGGCTTGCGATTTGATGAATGGGATTCATCAGATTTATTTGCTGATAACCTGATTCGAATTTTCCGTAATGTGATCTCATAAGACATTATTTGAATATTGAACCCATGTGATTGTAAATTTTCCAAAAATAACCAGTAAGTTATTTGAAAATGTTTCAATGAAAAATGGATTTTATCTGTGTTTTTATTCCAAATAACTTAATCGGTTTGAAATTTGAGTACTATTTGAAGAGAAATTGGGATGAATTCGAACATTTAAAGTACAATGTCAAGTTTTTATTGTACATAAATTCACAGCATAAAAGCTAATTCTACTGTAAAATATTTTGTTTGAAGTTTAATAAGCATTTAATATACATTCTTGCTCCATGTAGGCCTTTCTGCATTGCTCATTTTTACATTTTTATAAACATTTGTTTGTGCTAAGAAGAAGCTTCTGTAGCACAGGAATTTGCTGATGCCGAAAAGAAAGAAAGAAGTGACAAAACTGGCAAAACCTAGAAAGGTGGTAATCGTAGCGGAGCAAACCGAGGAAGTAAATAAAATCGTTTTCGAAAATGTGAGTAATAATGATTTCACCAATGAATTTCATTCGTTACCGTGTAGGATTGAATACGATGGACCAGCAAAAGTGTCACAGTACTTTATCACCGAGAGATTGGGAGGTGGTTTTTCTTGTTTATTATAAAATTAAATTTTTGCTATTATTAGCGGAAGAAAATTGTATCTATTTTAACTACGACATTTCTAGCGAAGTGTGGCTAACCGTATTACAAACCATACGGATGAAGGTGGAGAGTTGACAATTTTTATGTTTTTAGCATTTTAAGACTACAAAATTTTTGAAACCTGCTATTTTAAAGCAGTTGAAAAGTTCTGGTAGCAGTGAAATTTGAGTTATTTGTAAATGTCGAATTTGTTAAGTTTGTTAAGTTGTTTTGACGAACGATCAGTTTACTGAAAATTATGATAATGCTTTGTAGATGATACGAGAATTGCAACATTTCGAGGACGAATCTTGAATGGAGTGCAGCAACAGTTTCCAGATGGCTACCGTTTGTTTGTTGCTGTAGAAAAAGAGATCAAAGGTTTGCAATTAGTTTTTATTTTTCTGCTAATCTTATTAAAGATTGTATGATTATGTTTTCCAAATATTTCGATTGTTATTTTTCCATTATGAAGTTTATTGAGAAAATTTTTTATTTTATTGTTATTCTTATAACATGAAGTTACTGAGAACTATTTGAAATTTGAATGTGAATTTAAGAAATTGCAGATAACAGTCGCGTTTTTGAAGTTAATGGTTCAGCAAAATCCTTTATGCTATGGGAATATGATCGTAAAATCGGTCATCAGTCACCTCTCGTTCAAGCAATCGATTACCTCAATATTGCAGAAACATTTGCTAGGGATGATGATTGAATAAGCATCCTGAAAATGATTTCATTTTGATCTCTAGTATAAAAATATTCAGTCACTTTCACTTATGATGATGTTAAAATTAGACTGTTGTGAAGGAAGTTCAAATCGTTTAAATTTCTGCTTATTGTATCTTTCGTTTATTATATCCAGATAGTTATGATGAAAAACTTCAGTTAAAATAATCAAGATTTGTGTTGGTTTATTGTTACACTCAAGCTTCCTATTTTGATAATTTTAAACAAAGTTTTTTGAGACAAATTTAAACTTCTTTTCAATTTTTATGCTCATATGTTCCATGAAATGTGAGATCATTTGATTTGATGATACATCCATTTATATTATATGAACTTTCTTTATACTATTAAAACATCAGGTGTTAAATTAATACTTTTCATCTCTCTGTTAGCTTACAACCGATAGGTTTGGTTACTTTTCCATAATTAGCCAATAAATAATATTCTAAACTTAAACTTACATAGGACATCTAATATTTATGAGATGTGATGCGAATGGTGCTAGTTTTGATCCTTGTAGAAGTCTAGATGTATGCAGTTTTATGTAATGAATTAAAATGAAGAAAAGTAATGAAATTTATTGCTTGAAACAAAATTTCATTCATATACAAAATTTTCAGGCCTTTTATGTGCTTCAACTATATTCATTCTTACGAGATGTTAGCAAAAAATCTCGTTTGGTATGAATACTAATTGTAACATTGGCTGTTATCATGAATATTGCAGAGGGCACTGTTCTGCTTCTTTGGTTTTTTTGTAGTCAGAATTTGGTAGGTCATCAGCGAACAGTTATTACATTTGATATGTAATTAACCAATTTCACATTCTTGAAGAGGAAATAGAAATATGAAATGATATTGCGAATCAGTCTAAGCCTTGAGAAATCAGAGCAGATGTAGTTAATACTGTAGAGAAAGACGACTAAGTGCAGTTAAATAAATTTTGATGTGATTTCTTATTATAATATCTGAGTGCAGTCTTTATTAATATGTTATTAAGGAAGTGATATTGAGTAAATTTTATTTATAGATATATGGTGAACCACTGAGTCTTTTAATTGGTGCTGGTTCAGCTATTGCCGCTTCGCTAAGTATTTTCAGTTATTATGCCCGATGTAAACTTCTTGAATGTTGTGATAGTTCTTGGATACGAGGAGATTATAAAGGTTTTTTTTTTTTATATGACTAATTGTTTTTCATTTCATGGTTTGAGTTTTTTGCTGTTCAAAAGTGTTTCAGTTGATATTTTGTTTCATTTTAGTTTGTATTTTTTTTGTATAAATTTGTCAACATTATATATTCTTTCCTCGTTCACTTCACATTTTATTCATCGTGTTGATTATTTTCTTGTGTCCATAGTGATGAGTTTACACTCTTAACAGAGAGGCTATTCGCAAAAAGAACTCATATAAAATAACCTACGGTGACTTTATCTTTTCTTTTTTTGAAAATCAGCAGATAGCAACGAAATAATAATTTAGAAATTGATTTAATTGTTAAATTCAGATATATTTTAAATACAGTTAAACTCAGAGCAGTGTAAAAAAATGCTGTGAAGAGAGTAGTATTAGCTATGAAAATGTTTTCATTATTAAATAAGAGTAATGCATGAATTTAATTTAGTTTTATTTTATAGGTTTACAGCATTCTATGCATACGCGATTATATGGGCAGCATTTAGCCAAGGAAACTATAATAACAGCTGCAATTGCGCACTGGAAAAATCCGTAAGTTCGTTTTCCAGTTTATTGTAATGTATACGAATATTCACTTATTTTAAATTGAAGTTTTTTTGAAGTAAAAATTTCTTTCTAATATGATTTATAACATTTTTCTTATTGCACTTCCAGAAGTCCTAAAAAAGCTTTGGTGATGTCATTTCATGGATGGACTGGTTGTGGTAAAAATTATCTTAGCTCGATGATTATCGAGAATTTGTACAAGTTGGTTTATTATTTAGAAATTTCTTTTTATTTCGAAATTTAAACGAGTATTTTCATGATTAGTTTACTTTAACTCTTATAGGAAAGGAATGAAAAGTGATTATGTTCATGTTTATGTCTCGACGCTACATTTTTCAAACTATTTGGAAATACCACTTTATCAGGTACACTATACTTACCTTTCATTTTCCCCTTACATATGGAAATTTAGCAAATATGATTAGATATTTTAATTTGTTGCAACGTTATAGGTACAGCTACGTTCATGGATACAAGGAAATGTATCGAAATGCGAACGAAGTTTGTTCGTCTTTGATGAAGTAGACAAAATGCCTGCTAAAGTAATTGATGCCATAAAGCCTTTTATTGACCATTATGAATATTTGGAAGATGTTGATTTTCGGAAAAGTATTTTCATCTTTTTGAGGTAAGTCTTTCGGTTTGTTTTGAGTTGACTTCCATTGTTTACTTTTCTATTATTTCCATTTCCAGCATCTAGAAACATATGCTTTAGCTAAACTTTTTTTTATTTATAGCAGTAATTAATGAGTAAGGATTCAGTAAAAAAACCAATGCTAATAAAATTTCAAGATTTTCATAATCATAATGAGTTACCTTCAATTAAATTTTATAATACGCTGTTGCTTGACGATGAGAATCGATATACATAACTTTTTTCGGGAGTTGAAAGTTGTGAGGAAAGTAAGAAATAGAACATTTACTGTAGCAAAATTTCAAATTCGTGCCTTTGAATAAGATTCAGAATTTTCTATGCATCAGTATCATTTTAACATAACTTTATGTATATCAGAAATCTATGATACAAATGAACATTTGCAGTAATTCTGGAAGTAATGAAATAGCCCAGAAAGCACTTCAGCATTATGAAGATGGAAAAATAAGAGAAAAATTAACATTGAAAGAAATGGAAGACGTTGTTATGGCAAGTGCATTTAACACTGAAGGTAAGTCTTGTTTTTCATCTTATCTTACTACAGAAAACAGAAAACGTCGTTTTAAAACTTGCTAAAATGCTTAAGTACTGTTAAAGTAGTAGTAATTGGATAATTAGTTCAAGAGACAGTTGAAATTTAGATCCAGAAATTCCGAAACTTTTTAGTACTTTTTACTATTTTTACATCTCAAGGACTTTCTTTTTGTCTGAATTTTCCGTTTAGAAAATATGAAGTACATAAGTTTTAGGCAGGAATCATTTCTAATTATTACTAGTTTAATTTCTCAAATGCTTGTTGGATATAACATTGAAAAGAAGAAGTAGTTTTCAGATCAAATGAGCAACTATTGAAAGATTGATTAATTCAAAATATAAAGAGCAAAATTGATTGCATAGTTTTGAAATAGTGAGAAAAAAAAAATCCCTATTAAATTGGTAACTTCAGGCGGGCTAAAAATGAGTGAATTGATCTCAGCACATTTGATTGACCATTTTGTTCCTTTCTTACCCCTAGAAAGGAGGCATATACTGCTTTGTATTCGAGATTATATGCTTTCTCATGATTTCACGCCGACAGATGAACGTATCACTGCTATTGCCGATTCTTTGCAGGTAGTTTGCTTTTTGCTTATATTGGAGTTGAAGTAAATAGTATTGTAGAAAAAGTCGAAATCCATCTCATAATTACCGTTAATAAATGAAGTCTTCTTTTAAAATCGTCAAAAGAGATGACCTATAAGGGATTTTTTTTTCGTAATTGAGAACTGAATTCAACCTCTAAATGCTGTTTTTTCATGTTAGTATAAAATATCGAAAACATTTTAACTGTCAGGATGGATTAAATTTGAATTTTCCCAACTTATCGGTTTATCTTTTTTTCCAGTATTTTCCTAAAACAAATCCGATCTATTCTTCATCTGGTTGCAAACGGGTTGCTCAGAAGACTGAACTGTTCATATCTGCAGAGCGTGAAAAAGAGCGCCAGCGTTTTGAAAATTTTCAAGATGATGATATGTTATAGGCATCTGCTTGCTCTTGTCTTTTCCATGCTTTAATTAAATTCACTTCCAGACTATATTTTATGCACATGCATCCTTTCTCAACTCAAAATTTCTACAATCAAATTTATGGCAGTTTTAGGATAAATTCATCAAATATCGCAAGTTTTAATGCATTGAGTGTTGAAGATACTTATAGTATTATCTTAAATTTTTAATTATCAGTCTCTGGAAGGGAAACAGAGATTTTTAAATTAGCAGTACTGGTAGCGTATAAATTAAAGCAGTATGTATTGACTCCCTACATTTTTAGTTACTAGCATATTCCAAGTTTAATAAAATCAGCCAACATGCCAGAGACTATTTTCGTGGCTATAATAAACAGATAACAATACGTCCAATTTTTAAAATATAGTACATTTTATGTTTCTTTGTCGTCGAACATAACAATGATGACATTTTATGTTGAATATAACATTTTATATTTTATAACTTTTTGTATTTATTTTCATAGTCAAATAAAACACATGTGAGTGTCATAGAGTTTTATAAATTAATTTGCACCATCATAGAATTTTGTAAATTAATTCACTACCAACAGAAAAAAAAAATGCAAGTATTTCAAATCAATAATGGAATAAAAACCCGTTGAAAAAGACAAGAGTATTTGCCAAAACGGCTCACAAGCTATTTACAAATGAGATTCTGTCATACAAATAGAAATCTACTAAGGGTAGGTAAAGAGGACTGAATTATCAAACTGTTAAAAGTGTGCGTATCATTTTAAGGTTAAGTAAACTCTACTAGTCATTCTGTTAGGGTTAACTTAGAAACTTGGAAAAGTGATGGGAGAGATGGGGATTTGAACTGTTATTCCTCTAGTATTATCTGCTTCTATTGGTCATTTTAATACTGTTTAACAAATTTCATTCATTAGGCGGAGGTATCCCACCAGTACTCTCCTATAAGCATAAAATTTGCCACGAATTTCAATAATTTTAAAAGTCTAAATATTTAGGCTATGAAATAGGTGTAGCATGTGCAGCAAGTGCCCGAATTGCCCGTAATCGTTCAACAACGAGTCCAATGTAGGGTGGCCCTTTTTCCTCCTCTTCACGTCTCCAAACATTCACTGATAGTTGTGCCCGTAAGATTAGCTTCCGTATAAGAACAGCAGCCTGTTGATCCGGTAAAAAAGCGCGTGAGATTGCCAACCATAATGCAATTTCTTTACGCGCATGGACAGTTACCAACAAATGCTCATTATCTTGTGGTACTACCTACGAATACAAGTTATAGCACTAAGATTTGCTTAACGCCAGGTATAATTTTCTATTTCTCAAGTATTTTAAAGTTTTACTTAAAATCCAGAACCTTCTTCTTTTCGTTTTCTTTTAAAAAAGTACGAACAAAAGTAAAACGAAATTCAATTACCTCCAAAGCGACATGTGCAAATTTTCCACTAATTGTTCCAAGGACATAGGGCGAGCTACTGTCGTTGAAGACGACCGAAACAAAATCATTTCCAATAAACTTTTTCTTGCAGTTGCAAAGCGGGTCAATTTCGCTTTTTGGCATTAGAGTTGCTAAAGTAAATCATTATTTTAGATGTGATCCAAAAATTTGAGCAAACTTCATGATATTCTCCTATATGTTCGACATTTTAAATTTCATTTTTTACAGTGTATATGACAAATAACTCATTTAATACGAAATCCACCTTATGAATTTAACTATAACACTTTAACTATAACATACCCACATGGAAAACGGTTTTCGAAATCTCATCCGTATATACGTATGTAAATGTCCCACAGAAACCATCTGCAAGACCACCTGGACAATCTTCCAGAGATATTGGTTCGCCTAGAAGCCTAAAATTCCAAAATACTACAATTTGCTTGAATATTCAATATTTCAATCACGAATGTTAAGCAAAAGATACCTTAAAAAACTAGAGTAACGCGCCGAACCATAAACATTCCCCAAAATTTCGGATTCCTTAGTCTGCCCATGGGCTACGTAGACAACACCAACGGTGTGCAATTCAAGTGATGATATCCGATCAATATTGCGCAAAGATCTCAATCTATAAAAAATCTTCTATAAACATATAATTGTAGTATTATCGAAGGTTTTCTGGTTTTTCGAAGGAAGCTGCGAAATCTTGAAAACAATGAGGTCATACGTTTTGTTCTTATCACGAACTGATATCTGAACAGCTTTGTTATCATCAACGAGAAGTTTTAAAATCGATAATCCCTCGTCAATACCATAAAAATTGTCTGCTAAAATATACATTACAGATTAATATTGCATGAATTTATTTTCATTTCTACAATCATTTAGCAACACAAAATCAATGAACCTCAATAAAAGAATTAAAAAAATGATAGTCTCATGATACGATATATTTTTGGTCTAAACTACTCAATCAGTTTGGCCTTTTCAAAAACGCTATTTGCATTAAAAATTACGAAAAGTAATATGCTACTTGATTGTATGTATTAGTTCTTGAGGCACAAAGATCAAGATGAACAAAATTTCATTATCATTTCATTTTTTTTTATTCGTATAAAATTGATATTGAATAAATATTCCAAAAACAACCTGCTCCAAAATCATCAGGAAAATCTTTTAGTGATCGCATATACCATGAATATTTACCAAGTATATGCCGTACAACAACCTGAATCCACGTCACCACCGGAACACGAACTTTTTTCGATTCATATTTCGCCACTGTGCATAAGTCATCCAGAGTTGGACGGTAAGGAGCTACATATTTCCTTGAAAATAAACATATACCCTTATCTTGATTTATAGTTTATAAATAACAAAAAATTAAGAATAGTACTCGTTTGGGCGATGGATTGCTGACTGATGACGCCGTCTCCTGTCAAAACTTGATATCTCTCTATCTGGTATTTCCGTTGATGGGTTTTCTTCACCACTATCTAAAAATCAATCTTCATCTATTCAAGAATTATCTAATAACCTCCTCAAACAAAATAAATTAAAGGTATTGTAGAAAAATTGCATTATTATAATGACAAGCTCTTGGGAATTCTAAAAAAGCATGACAAAATAAGTGCTTTACTGAGATCTTTTCTGTTCTAATAAACCTAAACAACAAGCAGTTATTTACCCAATTCGAACATCTTACTTGTCCCACTTGATAGAGTTTCAGTAAAACTGGTAACAGAAATAACTACATCATTAATAACCCAATGGTTTGACCAGCGCTCCACTAGTTTTGTATTTGGCATCGATTGAGTGGGCGCTACGTCACTAATTTTGCTGTGTTTCATGAATGTTTTCAGTGCTTTAATTGTTTCTTCAGCCAACTATAACATTAACAGAAACTTAAAAAAAGGATAAATTAACATAATTCATGTGGCCCACATTTCCAGGCATTTTCAAATTGTTCAATATTTAGATTCTTGAAATGGTTCCATAACTGTAAAAGGAAAACAGTAATCGAACATTGAAAAACAAACCTCATCTCTCATATTAGTATCCTCATTTATAATCATGTCTTTCCGATTAGCTGAACCAAAGGAAAAGGCAGCAGTGGTTGGTGTGCCAGAATCAGACGATTGCCGTTCATCTGAATGCTCTTTGGCATTTATGACGTTCGGTAGACAAGTTTTTGCTTCTTCTTCAATCTACAAAACACTTCAAGGTTAATAAGAATGTGAAAGTAAAAATTTGGTTAATTTTTTCTGGTTATATCTTAGAAAAACTTTCTTATACCTTATTTATAATATAGTTGCATATCGTTGGTTTTACTGCATCTGACATTTTTGTATACCATCTCATTAGTGTACGAAACGCAGCAGCAACAATAAATGTGTTATATCGATGAACGTTTGTATACGATGCCAGTATATCAATAACAAATTTGAAATGCTTGATCTGCAGTTTAAATTGATTATCAAAATGAGTGAAAATATTCTGCTTTTCGTTAATAGTTATATAAGTTTCTATACTGCTTTTTCCAACTGCACAAGTTTAACAATCCAATTGCTGAACAAAAAAATCTAAAAAAATACAAAAAATATTTCACAGATATATTTAAACGTTATGAAATACGAAATGAGGCTTTTTTTTTTTCAATATAAACTTTTTAATATAAATATTCATCAAAGTAAAATGTCTTCCTAGTACCTAATTATATTTTTTACAATGTAAAGTTAGCAGAAAAGACAAAATTAGGAAAAACATCCAAAAACAACGAAAGTGGAATATAAAAGAAAAACAAAAATAAGTCTACAATTAACAAAACCTCAAAAAATTGATAAAACTCTGGCACTGAGGAACAGTCCGAAGCTAATTCGATAATAGGGATAGCAAGAACTGCACTTGGATGAAGACTTGCCAAATGGGATATTAACTGTCGGGCTAATGGTGCCATACAATCAGGCAGCACCTGCACTGCTAGGTCACAGGCCATTATTGCCTGAAAAATGTTTTTTAATATTCTTTATAACTCCAGAAGAACATACGATTATCTCCATGTAATTTTGGCTGCTGAAAAAAATTAAGATTCATTTGAAGAAATGAACTAAATAAACAATGAGAAATAATTCATCCATAAGGTACAAAAAATACCCTCAACATCACAATACCTGCTGACATCCGCTTGGAAGAGAAGGAACGCAATCAACCATAATTTTACAAATACTTTCATCATGATAATAATTAATTAGACGACTAAAAATAGGACAAATATATTTCGGTAGGTCAACTTCGCCCTTATGTGATGGATTTATAGTTAAATCGGCATCAGAAAGCAAAGTGTTACGCCTGCAACAAGGATGAAAGTATTCATAACACCACTAAGATAACCTTCAATTTACAAAGGATAAGAATGCGAATTATTTGTTCTAAAACTCGTTAGAATCAAGCAATACTCTTGTCTTTCATATATCTATTTAAAATAGCAGCGACTTTTCGGCAACCCTTTTTATATCAAAAAAAAAAAAAGAAAAAAACACAGAAAATGACAAAATACAAAAAAGAATTCAGATCGGGCTTGATAAATTACAAAACAAACTTGTGATATAATGCAATTATAGCGTTTTTAAGTTTTTCTATGCGTTCAGTACCCGCTGTAAAAATCAAATCTCGCACTTCTACTATTCGACACAACCGTTGCAAAATTATTTTCATAACCGGGAACCTGAAATAATATTTTAAGAACACTGGAAAAAAGTTTTAAGCAACTGCACAAATGTTATTTACTGTCTTCGAAATCATATATGATACGATTACCAGCTTAGATTGTATAAACAGTTTATTTGTCACGGTAAGCAACCCAAATAACCTATATCTATATGAGTAAACAACCCGGTTTTAAAAACATTCATGATGTTAGTTATTCAATGAAATGTTCAATGAATGATTGAGATTTTATTAAAATAAAGTCAGAAATTACCAGAGCTCCTCTTCAATAGCTCTTGTCACCACTACGCATATTTCGCTCCACTTAAAATTTCCATTAGTATCACCTCCAGCACGACATATTCGTACATTAGTTACGTCATCAAACTCACCAATACAAACTGCAGCAAAGTATTTGATGAACACAAACGGATTAGCTTTGAAGATTTTAAACACTACAATTAAATGTAAAGAACTGTAACTTGCGTTCAAGAAATAATCAAGAGTACCTTCTGTCGACAACTGCAGCACAATTAAGCATGTTTCCGTAATTCATTATTTGTCCCTTTGTAAAATTTAAAAAAAAAAAAAAACTGATAAGAAAATGATATACACACCCATTTGCTCTGAAGGTGGATTACAAACAAGAGTCAATAATGCGGAAAATATGCGCTCCCGTATTTCGCAACCAATTTCGCGAACAAGTCCATGTTGATAGTGGGAATGAAGATGTTCACAAAGTATATGTATGATATAATGAAGATGAGAGCTTCGCAAATCAGAAAAACGTTCAGCTAAAACTTGGCATACATCCCCCGTCAATATTTCCATATTTTCAAAAACTTCTGAAATGGACTGTGTAAATGGTATATGATGAAATTTCCTCAAAATTTTACCTCTGAAAAAATCTCAAAGTAACAGACAAAATACTCTTCACCGTTTCATTTGCATGAACTTAAAAATGTTAGAGTCCTAATTAGTCTTGCTTGAAATTTGAGCTAATTAGCCTTGAAATCATAGACCTGCAGTGTCGAGATCAAGTGCAAGAAATGAATTGGCTATCTCCATTACCATTAAAAACAGGTCATCATCTTCGGATTCACGTAAAGATACCGTTTTTGCAACATCAAATAAAACATTTAACATTTGATACTAAAATTTAAAATAAATTTTTCCAAAACTTGAGAATACATATAGACAATCATTTCTGAATCTTTTGAGTGTTATATTCTAACCAAATAGCATACGCTTTGTCTGGAGAGCAACTGATCAAATAAATTCTTAGATATGAAATATTTTAGATCTTGATATACAGCTTATTTAAATTCCTACAGCTAATTGTTTTAAAATTTAGTGGGACAAATTATTTACTGGATAAAATATTAATAAACAAACCTGAATTTTGGCATTATTTTCACGAATACAACCTCTAAGTATAGGACAAACTAAATCTGTAACAACTGCTCTCTCATGTAGCCAGTGGTACTTCATATAAACAGTGTGCAGGACGCTAACAGCTTTCTCCCTTAAATTATCAACCAGTAACTATAAGTAACTCAATAATGACAGGATTCATACATTAAAAATCTTCAAAGGCTCTGCCGAAACATAAAGTCATGAAATTAAAGCTACTAACGAACCTAACTGCAGAAGGGTAGTTGTCTTGAAGATGCTTTTGGACAAGTTGTTGAAGAGTGTGAAGCCAATTTGATATAAAGGGATCCAAACACTTCAAAATGCAAACAATTAAAAAGATTTATTGTAGAGTTCATTTAGTTACAATGAGGAAATGACCACCTTAGATTGTATAACAGTTAATTAACTACAATATAACATTCGATCATACTATTAACTGTCCTATAAAAAATGTCGAAATTCAAGAAAAAAAAAAAACTTACAGCTACACGGTAATCAAATAATGCTATGATGCTTGTAACAGGACGTTCATCGATATAACTTTCTATCAGTGAATACAGCGCTTCGGAGGAGCCACCATAGTTACCATCATGATATAAATTCTCAATAATGCTCAGTAAATGATGAATACGTGATCGCTGCTCTCTAACTTTTCCTTTCCATGATATCTATTAAACAATTTAAAAATATCTAATTTTTGCTTTGGACTAAACTTGATTTCATTTTTCACTAACTTTTTTCATTATTCACTCACAATCGAAACTTCGATTTTCTGTTCTATTAATAAAAATTGTCATATAAAACCGTCAAAATAAAAAAGAAAAAACTAGATAATTTTTAAGTAGCTGACAGAAATTTCAGCGAAATATGCAAACCACTAAAACTGGAACACAATGATAAATACCTGTTCACAAAGCTTTAAAGCCTGTTTAAGGAGTTGCAAGATACAGTGCCAACTCAGCTGCTGTAGATTTTTTCCACTGGCATTCAGTAACCGTCGGATGGCAATCAACACTTCATTCACAACTTCAGGACCTGCTTCCATTGCTGGCAACATATTTGGAAGAGCAACACTTGGATGACAGCGTAAATTACCAATATTCTGTTAAATAAACCAAATGCTTTCAAATTCACTCACTATTTCAGATCACAGAAAATGTTGCCTTGCAAATATTACTCCTTATACGATTTAAATTGCTTTACTTTCTCTTCATATCTGTTACTTATCAGAATTGTAGCTATGAATAAGAGAAACATTCCGAAATGTACCATATTCTCATTAAATAAAAATCTTGAACACTGCCAGCCAATCTATTAATACTGAAAGAAAGAGAAGAAAAATCTTGTTATTTAATCTGTTATAAACAAAATTATATTACATAAATGATAAACGGAAAAGGAAGCTTACTTGCTGACTCCAGAGAGCGGTATGTATACAGTATATAGCACCTACAAGAACCTGTGTTTTCGGACAATTGACGCTATCTTTTAATAAATCAAGCATTAGCTTTATAACATTATGACCATAATGAGATCCCAATAAACCTCTCATTACGTTCCATGCAGTGGAACCCCATTTCTGTTCATTCATTACCGAACACAATGTTGTTATTAATATCAGCAACTTCGTATCTGGGATGCGACTGTAAATAATAAATTATATTACAACATTTGTAACTAAGTGGATGGTAATTTTAAATAAAACATCTGCTAAGTATATTAGCTGACAATTTTGACCAATAATACCGTATTTCTATAAACCGTTTTTTTTTTTTTTTTTTGTACTAATAGCAGATTAATAGAAAACCAGCAAAAAATGGATTGAAAAAAGAAATGGAAAAAATAGCCATACCCATATTTTAAAATAATTCCTAGTAATAATAAACATTCGTATGTCAAATGATCTGCCTTACGACATATTCTTAAGCAAATATTATGAACAATTTCATCAATCTCCTTATTTGTAATAAAACCAGCATTTGTTCTGGAAATAAAAAAAAATCACTAATAGTAAGCGGCACGTAATTAGAAGTTTTAAAAGCAACCAGCAAAAGATAAGTTTGAATTCTTCTCTTTAAATTTCTTAAAACACGAGCTTATTTGAAAAATATATACTTCAGAAGTAAAACTCCGTTCAAATTGCAACAAAAGTGAAAAAATTATAAAGACATGTTTTTATGAATCCTATTGTTCCAAAACAGAAATTTTATGCAATCATGTCAGCCGAACTTTATGGCTTGCTGTGTGAGTTGAAGTACTCGGATAGCATGTCGATGATCCACCTTATTTAGATCTAGCACTTCTCGTAGCCAATTAAGCTGAAGGCTCATGAAGTCGTATTCAAAACCTGCTACTTTATCGCCATTCACTGACAGAGCTATGAACCACTCCAAAGATAAATCACTGAGACCCATTGAACGGATTAACTAAAAAATTTTTAATGAATCCTTTAGAAGTGTCCATAAAATTCGTATATCAACATAATGTTAAGTTTGTTTATATATTACTAAAAAAGCACAAAATTTAAGTGAAGTGAAATCACCCACGGAAAAAAATGTGTCGCGCATTGCCAAACCGAGTTGATCCAGTTGATATTCAGTGAGGGTAATAAATGTTTTTAAGAACGAATCCCTTGCTTCATCCACTTCGTATAGATCTTTGGTCTCATGATATAGAGCTTCAACGGTGCTTATTTGTAGTCGTCTGCCTCTAACGATCTAGTAAGTTCTATGATAAAGCTTTAAGCAATTTTTCCCTTTTCCTAAACATTTCAAAGTCATGGATTTTGCTACAAAATTTGGAGGTAAAAAAACTTTAAAAATTCTTAAACTCTTAAGTCAGCTACTTATAACTAGAAAGCTTAGAATTTTGCAAGGCAGCAGTAATTGAAGAACTTGAGATTTAATTTAAATGAGCCTAATTTAAATCTATCTTATCCCTCTTTAAACAACTATTCAGATAAGCTGACTGATAATTAAGTAAATTGTACCGACTCTAATTGCTCCATTGCCTTCATCCGAGTAGACAACGAACTACCACATCCTAATTCAAACCATGCTGCTTGACTAATCGAACCTTCACTGAAATTGCAGATATGAAATATAAAATAATCGGATGATTTCTTCATAACAATCAAAACCCACCTGAACAAAGTTAATATAAAATTCTTAGATATTAGTGTTATCTTATTCGTGGGAGTGATCAGAAAAGAGAATTAAATGTTCACAATTCTAAACAAATAACAGTGCAATAACCTGTTAAGGAAATGTTGAATATCATCGTTGTCTTTCCGACTGAATACTGCTGAAAGGAAGCTTCGCCTCGATAACGGCATGCCTACCGGAGTCGGAATCGCGAACGCATGCGTACCTCTCAAATCCTTATTGTTAAATTCATCAATAAAAAAGATAATGTTGTCTCGCAGTGCTATCATTAATCTTTCCCATCTTATCAAATATTCAGTAGTCTACCTAGAAGTAGCACATAATGCTAAGACCAGAATTTCTCTTAGGTTTGCTGAAGAGGTTAAAATATAAATGAATACCACTTGGTGGCAAATTCAGCGTTTGCATGCACCGTCCGACTCGTTCCTATGATTTTTACAACCACTATAGTTCAGACATGAGTTCGTCTATAATATCTTTGAAAACAAAATATAAAGGAACATATCAGCAGTGAGTAAATAGTGAACAAAGATAGGAAAAAGAAGGTAATGAAAAAAACGAAGATTTCTCAATTAGTAAACGTAACTGACTGCTTCAACGTAATTGACCACTTAAACGTAACTAACTGCTCAAACGTAATTGACCGCTTAAACGTAACTGACTGCTCAAATGTAATTAACTTAAATGTCACTGATTGCTCAAACGTGATTAACCACTTAAACGTAACTGATTGCTCAAACGTAACTGACCACTTAACATCTCTGACTACTCAAACGTAACTGACCATTTAAACGCAACTGACCGTCCAAACGTAATTAACCACTCAAGCGTAACTGACTACTTTCGAGTGCTCCTTTGTGAAACTAACGTGAAATGCGCTGTGAAATCACTGATCTCACTCTGCATTTTTCTCTTTTTAAAGCTGTCATAGTTATTCCTTGTCAAGCAATTTAAGGTTTAAAAAGATAAGTAAGCATTTTACTTTTATTTTCCAAGAGAATATTTCAAGTTAATAAAATGAGTAACTACCTACGAATAGTACTATGATTAACGAAAAAGTAATTTCTATTATTGGAAAAATATTTCAGCAACAAAAGTAATAACAATTTTTCTTTTTGTTTGAAAGTAATAATTTTTTCTTTTTTTCTTTTTTTTTTTAAAAAGTAATAATAATTTCTTTTGATATTTCTTGAGGATTTACCCATCTCATTTTGTCTCTACTATTATCTTAAAGCTTAACATCAATTAGTACAAAATTTAATAAATTAGAATTTAATAACATGAGAAGAGAACTTATTTTTAATTGATAAATAACACAAGAAGAGTAAAGGCTATTCCAAAAAGCTAGTTGTATTTCATACTAAAATTATAATCTATTAATGAATTTTAATTTTGAAATTTTTCTTTTGCTTAGACTATGATACACAAAACAAATTTATAGATTGATTGAGGTAACAGAAAGATTTATTAATTTTTCTCAAAAAAAAAAAAAAAAGGAAAGAAAAGAAAAATCTTTAGTCTACAAATTCTTATATTCTTTAATACAGAATTAGTTCGATTATTTTCACAGACACAAAAAACTGATTGCATTTATCGATTTTGCCAACAACTAAGTTTAGTAATTGTAAATTATAAAAATGATAAAAAGCTGAGGAAAGATTAAAGTTTTTTCTTTTTTTCTCCATTTATTCACATATTTCTAACTTTTTAAAATCTTCAATTTCAATTAGTTTAATAGTCGTTTGTAATTTTCAACTGTAATTGTTCGCATAAGAATAATGAAGTAGCGTAGCTAACATTTGCAGCTGACTCTTATAAGATCATTTAATCACTCAGATAACATCTTTTAAATTATTGCAAATTTTTAAAGTTTTAAGTTTGAAGTTTAAATAAATCTTATAGTTTCAGTTTATGAAATTTTAGCGCATTTTTTTTTTTTTTTTGTTCTCGATTGCATGGAATTTTTTTGATAGCATTCATTTGGAAGATGAAATTAAATTAAATTTTGCATCGTTTTAGTTTGATGTTGTAGTAATCATTTCTGCCACATATTAACTAATTCATAAATCATTTTGTTGATAAGAGAAAGAAATGAAGTTCGAGATCTGAAGACAACAGAATACATATCATTGAGCAGTAGCAGTAGCAGTAACAGCAGCAGTAGCACTGATTTCTTCATCCTTCCTTTGTTCAGCTTTACCTCATTTCTTATCACTTCTTATCACTGCGCTTTCTCTAAGCAATTCGCTTAAAGTGATAAGTGAAAAGTTGCTTCCACCAAAGTTTATCACTCATTTCCTCTGTTTTATCTTTGCTATTTGATATTCAAAGTAATCACTCTGTCATTAATGGTTCCTTAATAATAGTTATTAAAAAATGCGGAAATACGATGAATTGTTGTTGTTTAAATTAGTTAACCTTTAATCAAAACACATATGTCAATCTAAACAATGTTGTTTGTTTGTTTATTTTTTTGTCCCTTAGCATTTCCTAAATTACTAACATTAATAGTTTATTTGATTTGTGTAACAATTTTATTCTTATATCAAACTGTTTATAAATCGAAATTTCTCCCACACTAATACGCATCATATAGAGGCGCAAAAGTACCGAAAAGTAAATATTGAATAATTACAAAAAGTTATATTATCTAACAAGGCGAAATGAATGAAAGTTAATTTTAATAATAGCATCAGGCATTTATTTTATCAGATTTATCATTTTGGAAAAATTATTTGTTACAATTTAAAATTGTTGCATAGTATTAATGCATTTTCTTCTTTCTTTTAAGATAATTAAACCATGCAAATATTATCAATATCTGTTGATTTCTTAGTTTGTTTATCACTTTATCACTTTGATCTTTTAAAAAAAAAATAATAATAATGATAATTCATGAAAGATCATTACAACATCTATAGATGCACAAATAGCAGTAGTAGTAGTAGTAAAATTGTAATAATAAAGAATAGCTGCGATAATTATTCGAACAGGTGTCTCTCTTAGAGTGCTGTTGTATTTATTATGACCCACATCTTCAAATATTCATCCTATACTTTGTTTTTTTTTTTTTTCATTCATTTTCAATTTCTTTTTTTTTCTTTTAAACTTTTTTCAAATTACAAATTATTTTAACTCAAATTGCATTCCAAGCTTATCGATATCAATTAAAAAATATCTCTTATATTAGTCTAAAATATTCATAAAATTAATTTCCATAAAAGATAATTTCATTTGTTTCATTTTTTTAATCACAAATTGTTCATTTTTCTTTTTCAATTATCTCTTCTTTTTGCTAAATTTCTCTTCTTTCTTCATTTCAAATAACTAGAAAAATGAAATGAAAATTTGAAAGATCGCTGCTAAGCAAGCCATTTTGAAGTGCCGACAATGTTTACTCACATCAGAAACAAACATATTTAATTTAGCTAATCAAAAAAAAAAAATGCTTTTATTTGCTGCTTGCTTTTTTACTTTCTCTCTTATCACTTATCATTTTACCTTTTTGTCCTATTAGTTCATTTCAATAAAACAACAACAGATGTTATTTTATTGCACTTCATATGAAACATTTATTCATTCAATCGGTGTCTTATAAATACAAATATCACAAACTAGTTAAGCTTTTGCCGCATTGAATTATTTTTTATAAAAAGATTTTGGTTATTTCTATTTTTTTTTTTTTTGATTTTCCACTCTCTCTAATTTTCTTTTTCTTTTGTATCTTTTAAACTTAAAAAAAGATTTTTTTTATTTTGCTTATAACACCAACATTTTTAATTCAAGCTTAAAATTCTGCTAACTTCTTTGTTTTTGAATTTTATTGATAAAAATATTTTTCGAAATGTGATATCATCATATGTATTTAAAATTTACATTAATAACAAATCTTTTTTCTTTTTTTGCTGCTGTCAAATAATGCAAAAGATGAATGTAAAATTTTCAAAGCAATCTTATAGATTCGATTATATCAAATTTTTTTGTTTGTTTGTTTGTTTGTTTTTTTTTTTTTTGAATATATTTTTATTATTTAGATGACTAATTAAGATACAGTTAAAATTTTAAACAAAATGAGTAACACGGAAGATGGAAAAGATGAGGAAATTGAACAATTGGAAAATAAGATTGATTGGGAATCATTGCTGAATGTAGCAAATGATCCAGATTTTAACGAATTACTTCAATCACCGATCGATGATGCAATCAATATTCTAAAGTGTTACAACTTTCTTTTTTTTCGTAATTCAACACCTAACGTTTTATTTTACATCACACATAAACAAAATTTATTAAAATTTTTAATTCCTTTTAGCATAAATATTTGATCAACGATTTAAATTCTCAATTATTTTGAAATTCTATTCCTTTCCATTTCATCCTCATTTTTGCTAGCAATTAAATAAATGATTGAAATTTAAATATTAAATAAATAAAAAATAAATGATAAATGAACGTTGCCTCTTCTTTTTTTTGTTTCTTAATTTTTCTGAAGTTTAATCCGTTTTAAATCTTTTTTCATTGATCAAAAAACAAATGAACAAAAATGTTGCACAAATTATCCAAACAATTTCATGAAGTATAAAAATTTTAATTAGAATTTGCATTATAATCAAATTTAAGAACAGGGCGAGAAATTCAGAAATTGTCAATAATTCGAACATTGAACGATTTATTAGAAACTGATGGAGATCAAGTGGTCGAGAAAGTTATGCCAGCCATTCAGGTTGGCTTCAATGTTCATTGTGTTCTAAAAATTAATAATTATCCTTTTAAATTTGTACTTTCATATATTAACTATCATCTATTCAAAGCTACATTTGATATCGAAAATTCTAAAGTATTATCTTTTATGCAATATCATCAAATTTATGCTTTTGATAATATATCATATTTTAAATTCAAAATTTAAAACTTGAAAAAATCATCAAAAGTTGATCGTTTGTTGAGGAAGTAGAAATAACAGAATTATAAAGATTCCATTAGTATCTAGAAAAAAGGATCTTTTTAGAAAATTATATAGAATAAACCCTTAAAATCTCAATAATCTCTGGAACGGAAAGAAATTGAATGTTAATAGTTTAAAAAAAAAAAAAGTGGTGAATATTTAATTTTTCAAATTTGTAGTAATTTATGATATTTATATAGGAAATGTTGGTTGAGGAATGTTCAAATTTGGATGTACAGTGTGAAGCAGCTGTTACCTACAAAAACATTTATCGAAATAGCAAACTTACCGCTAATGTTCCGTAAACTTTTTTTTTGAATTCGA